CACAGACACACACACACACACAAATACACATGCACCATCTCGTATATGGTAACATACATGCATGCACACACACATATATGCATACACAAACGTGCACACGCACACATACACACATGGACACTCACAGGCACACACACAGGCAGACACACACGCACACACAGGTGTACACACACACAGATACACACCCATGCGCAAACACACACAGAATATAAACTTACAGGGGCTACGGGGAGTGGACCGGATGGGATTGCTCTGCATGGACTCAGTGGGCCAAATGGCCACCCTTTGTGCCTTAAATGACTCTGTAACATGCCAGTTCTGTTCAGTATGCCGCAGAACAAGTTAGCTTTAGGACAGCCCTCGTGTCTTGGTTGGTGGAAGCTCTGTTTGGTGTTGGCATTTGAAATACAGTGCAGCTGAGGAAACTGATCCCAGAGGGAGGGAGAGAGGGTGATAGGGAGGGAAGGGCTCCCTTAGAAACCTCTGATACAGAGGATAGCTGTTGCTGGCATGGGAGAAGACTTGCTGGCATGGGAGAAGACTTGCTCCCCAGCCCAGCTGAGCATGGAAGGGAAATAGAGAATGATATGGTGCACAGGAAGTGTTTGGAATGGGAATTGTTGAAGTATTGCTACTCAGTTGGAGGTCTGTATAACCTCCTGGCCTCGTTCGTCAGGCTAAGGAACCAGCTCTAACAAACTCCCCCTGCATTGTGTTGCTCTCCAGTGACCTCTACTGGAAAAGTGGATGTTGCTGTAGGACAGAGGTGAGGCACAATTGTGAAGCCCCGACTAGCTGAACAGCGTGTCAACAACAACATGGATTTATAAAGGCCCTCATGTGATGACAGGTGGTAAAAGTAGGTGATTCCAGCTGAACCTTGTGATATTTCACATAATGAGAGTCAGAACATTCAGGAAAAGCAGTTTAGAGTCAAGGATCTTAACAAAGAGAGGAGGAAAAGACCATTTGTGTAAATAAGGTCCTCCCAAGTACCAAAAACAACCAGGGCCATGGTAGACTGAGTATTTACACAGTGCCTTCAATGTTGAAGAAACTCTCAAAGTATGTTAAGAAGAGACAGAGCAGGAGATGGTGTAATTTAACAGAGTATCTCCTGATGACACACTGGCCTGGGTCTGGTTATCCCTGTATGCCCACAGCACACAACAGTTGGAGGCTGGAACTCCATTGCAGTCTGCACGACTCACCCAGTGCCCCGCTCTCTGATCCCCTCGCCATTCCCCTCACCTCCCTCCTCATCATTGCCCAAACTATCACTATTCACCACCTCACTATCTGCTCGAATCACCACAGACCCCTCACCTACTCACCTCTTCATTCACCACACCCCTCCCCTTCACCTCCCCATTCACAACTCTCCCTCACCTCCCCCTTGCCATGTCCCCTCCCCACTCCCCTCACCCCTCCCCTTCACCTCCGTGTTCACAACTCTCCCTCCCCTCCCCCTCGCCATGTCCCCTCACCACTCCCCTTCACCTTCACGTTCACAACTCTCCCTCACCTCCCCTTCGCCATGTCCCCTCACCACTCCCCTTCACCTTCGCGTTCACAACTCTCCCTCACCTCCCCCTCGCCATGTCCCCTCACCACTCCCCTTCACCTTCGCGTTCACAACTCTCCCTCACCTCCCCCTCGCCATGTCCCCTCACCACTCCCCTTCACCTTCACGTTCACAACTCTCCCTCACCTCCCCTTCGCCATGTCCCCTCACCACTCCCCTTCACCTTCGCGTTCACAACTCTCCCTCACCTCCCCCTCGCCATGTCCCCTCACCACTCCCCTTCACCTTCGCGTTCACAACTCTCCCTCACCTCCCCCTCGCCATGTCCCCTCACCACTCCCCTTCACCTTCGCGTTCACAACTCTCCCTCACCTCCCCCTCGCCATGTCCCCTCACCACTCCCCTTCACCTCCACGTTCACAACTCTCCCTCACCTCCCCCTCACCATGTCCCCTCACCACTCCCCTTCACCTCCACGTTCACAACTCTCCCTCACCTCCCCCTCGCTATGTCCCCTCACTACCCCCCTCACCACTCCCCTCAACCCCCTATTCACAACTCTCTCTCACCTCCCTCTCGCCATGTCCCCTCACCACTCCCCTCACCCCCCCAT